GGTGGATCGGCTCACTAAGTATGCCCATTTTATGCCATTAGCGCATCCGTACAAGGCGAAGTCTGTGGCCGAGTAGTTCGTATTGGGAGTGGTGAGACATCATGGGTTCCCCAGGTCTATCGTCAATGATCGTGACCCAATTTTCTTGAGCAGGTTCTGGCAGGAGGTCTTCGCGCTGGCGCGGACTGTTTTGGGCATGAGCTCGGCCTATTATCCACAGACCGATGGGCAGACAGAGATCGTTAATAAGCACCTGGAGAAGTATTTGAGATGCTTCGCAATCCAGCAGCCCAAGCAATGGTTGGCCATGCTTCCATGGGCGAAACTGTGGTATAACACCACCTATCATCGGGCCATCAAAATGACCTCGTTCGAGGCTCTATATGGGAGATCGCCCCCGACGTTGGTGCACTACAGGAGCGGGTCGAGTTCTGTCGACATGGTGGACCAGTGGTTGGGCACACGGGACAAGGCCTTGGAGCAGTTGAGAGAAAATTTGGCCGCCGCAAACAACCAAATGAAGCAGGCCGAAGATGCAGGGCGGAGGGATGAGGAGTTTGAGGTAGGGGACTGGGTATTGTTAAGGCTGCATCCCTACCGACAGACCTCGGTTTTCCGGCGGGCGTACCAGAAGCTAGCGGCCCGATACTTTGGACCGTACGAGATCGTCCACAAGGTCAACCCGGTGGCATATCGTCTGCAGTTGCCAGTGGGGTCACGCATACATCCGGTGTTCCACTTTTCCTTGGTGAAAAAGTACCGGGGCCCGGCAAACAGGGTTTCATCGACGGCTCCTCCGGTCACGGCAAATGGCAACTTGGAGCTGGTACCTCTCAAGGTGTTGGAGACCCGATGGACGAAGAAGGGCGGTCGCTTGGTGGAGGAGATTTGGTGGGGTGGAAGCACGTGGATCCAAAAAATGCCACTTGGGAAGAGTCAGAGACGCTTCGCCAGAGATTCTCGGACTTCGACCTCGAGGCCGATGTCGATTCTGAAGGAGGAGGGGATGTGGGAAACCCAACCACAAGTTAGAGAGAGGGCCGAACTCGGCCAAGAGGGGAGTGGCAAACTTGTAATTTGTGTTATTTTGGTTTACTGCTACTTAAGGATTCAGCTCATTAGTTTTGGCAATTAAGCAATAATAATCAGAAAACCCAATCCCTAGTCTCTTTCTCTCTCTCTCTTGTTCTTCCCCAAATCCTCCAAATCCCTAAATTCTTCTCTTCTCAATTGGGATTTCTTGTTTGTAACACTTGGCCACCATGGTTGGCATATTTATGGGCTAGATCTGGAGACACCCAAAAATGGTAAACAAGGCGCCGTTTTAAGCTTTGGTCGAATGTTTCCATGCCATTTTCTAGACTCAATCCAATCGCTCATTCTAACTCCCAGCAATAGGACATTGATATTCCTTTAGTCGTACAAGGTTGTCTGTTAGGATGCTATTTTCTGAAAGCACATGAAATACAACCAAAAGTGCAACGAAATAGTAATAGAGATCTTAGACCTATTAAAACGCACATTGAGCAATTATCCAGCAAATGCAAGTGATTATGACACTAAAGATGTGAAAACCATGCAATTCTAGCCATTATAAAAAAAGGTATAAAATAATACTTTCTACATGTCATCACAAGTCACCTATAAGTCTTTCAAGATTGAGACCTAAGATCCCCCTCTAGGATTCAGGGAAGCAAACATTTAGAATAACTCTTCTTATTTCATGATTCTCTTCCAAATAGAGCATCCAACTCGGTTACCACCACGTCGCAGTCTCCAATTATAAAAAATATTAGGGACTTGAAGTCGATAAGGTTCCACCACAACAAATTTAGTTTAAGCCATAATTTCATAGCCACTTTGTCAGCAAAGCATTATTCATGCACTCAATATCTAAAAGATCAAAACAACACACCTCTTTAGTTGTTTTACATTTATCCAACAAACTAAATTATATATATTTTAGTATTGAAGAAGCCATTAGCATCCTCATTAAGAAAAATATAAATAACAGGAGAAATGACCAGCACTTTATTCCAAAGTTCAAGAATGGAAGCATTCAAGGATCCTTGAAAGAATTTACAGTTGACATTGTCGAAATTCTTCTCAATTTAAGGTTTGATGATTGCAACCAACTTTCCACTTTTCTATTTGTTGTCGATCAGTTCATTCGCAATCAATGAAGCTTTTTGGCTTTGCCGCCTTTCAACCAACTAAACTGATTTCCAGAGACAATCTTCATTATGAATGACATGATTTTGTCATTAATAACTTTTCCAGGAACTTATTGATAATTTCGAGGCGGATCTCCCGAACATCAAATATTTCCTCCATCGCATTTTTCTTTGGGATGAGGCAGACGAATGAGTGAGTTATGCACTTGGAAGTTTTCTGTTAGCATGAAAGGGTTCAAGCCGTTGGACAAGTCACTTTATCATGTTCCAACATTTCTTATAGTAGCTAATGCAAGGCGAGGACATATGATCCAAGGGTATATTGTTACCTCTATCGCGCCTAACTACTAGTTAGATTTCTTCATTAGAGAATTCCCTTGTCAATAGTTCACCTTCCTCTTTTGTCACATGGAGACGACCATATTGGTAGGTTGTGAATTAGAATCATGGTTCTAAAAAGCGCGCTTAGGCACTTGTCTAAGCTTGCCTAGGCGCAAGTCAGAAGGAAAATGCCTCGCCTTGGCAAAAAGTAGCATAGTAGGCGTCATGATCACGTTGTGACCTCTGTGGTGCCTAGTCACCATTGAGTTACGTCTCAAAATGATGTCATGATGTCTTTTTTCTACGTTTTGATATGCTACTAGAAAAGAAGGTCTTGATTTCTATATTGTTAGCCTATGATATAGTTAATGACAACCATCTTTAGAGTAGCTTTTTTTTTTTGCGCTACTTCACTCTTAATCTGCTTTGCTATTTTCCAGCTTCTTTTTCCTTACTCATTTCTCCATACTGTGTTTTATGTTTTACCATGTGATGTTGATGAAAGTTCAGAAATGAGAGGTAGATGTGATGATATTGGTTCATAAACTTGTGATTCTAGATAAATGTGAGATATTTTGTTGCATTTACATCTAACGCTTAGTCACGCCTACGCATGCTAGGCGCAGGACAGAGCCTCAATTAGGACGCCTTTGGCGATCAGTGTAACGAGCTTGATATTAATATTTCATGTAAGCAAATTTGGTTAGGTAGTGAAAATTTCAAATTCATATGTTAAACTTTGTTTAAAACAGGGAAATGTATGAGAATAACAAAATATTCATATTTCAAGCTCTCCCAATGTTCAATTCAAATTATTGAGACCATTTACATAAACTAATAAGCTAAAAAATCGGTCCATTTCATCTTATTAATTACATAAGCTTAAATAAAATATTGAAAGGTATATGATATGGTTGGAAGTATGTATAGAAATAGAAACCCTTGGTTTAAAATTGGAACCCTCATGCATGGCCAATCACCTTTATCTTGATTGGTGGTCTTGACAGTCATTCTCAGCTACTTCCTGAAAGCTTATTGTAGGGGCTGTGGTTCATCGTATTTCATAAAAGGATCTTGACCCCAAGATTTTTGTTGGCTAGCTTCATGCCACGAAAAAGTATGACAGAGATATTTTTTATGAAAAGAAGAGACATGTAGAAGAAAACCAAAATAACTGAGAGAGCTCAAGTCGAAGCTCAAGTTGCTAAAAGGCTCATGAAGAGAGTAGGATAAATGAATGGCGATAGAACTTACAGCAGCACCATTAAATCCCAGCCAAAAGAAGCCAAATGAACAAAACGGTTGGGGAGTTATATATATATCAAAGGTATATTCACCAACGTCTCACTCTCCATCCGATCGATTAAAAAGAACCTTCTTCGCTTATCAACTTGGTTTGCTCGTCTCCAATTTCTTCATGAATTGGTTAGCTAGTTTCCTTACAAAACTATAAGTTAGTTTGATCTGTACAATCATGCCATTGCATGATGACTGATGCTATGGCTACTCTATGAGTTTCGAACCCAATTGGGGTTGCAACTACAGGCCTTGCCATCGATATTAAAAGCCGACTGTTTGACTTTATGAGCAAACTACTGAAATTGGAATTGAACCATACAGATATAGGCATAACTAATATGTTTAAACACTAAGCATGTTATGACGAGATGGCTTGGGTTTTGAGATTTTTCAATATGTTAAGCCTGATGCTAATTGTGCGCACATAACATGGCTCATTGTGATTCTCAATTTGACATAGAGAAGTCTGACTTGATAGACTACGAGCATTTTAGTTAATAAAACTGTATCAGCATAATGTAACCGTAACTTCCAATTTAAAAAAGTTTGAGCATGTATTTAATTTCATTTAAAAGTGGAGGAAACATTATATTTTTGTTAATATGACCCATAGGCCATAACTCTTACGTTTCCTAATATATATACAAGGAAAATATCATTTTGTAAAGATAAAAAAAAATGAAAATATATACAAGGATGGCTTTTTATGTATGGTGTTCTCACGCTAGTGTACAGAAAACGATAGGGCATAAAAAGACAACCAAACAAAATGATAATAATAATTTTGCGCCATTTCTTTTCTTGAAAAGTCTAGTAAGTTCACGAAAACTTCATCTCCCCCCTCCCCTCCTATCAACTTTTTTTTTGTGCAACAGAAAGGTTTGTTAAACACGTGAAGATCCCCAACATCCACACACTAAACCCTAGGCTGTCCAGATTCTACTACCAATTAATACTAGGGGCATCCAGTCCACTGATGATGGCAAGGCAGCCATAGTTATTATAAATACGAAGAAGTCCCCCCCTTCAGTTCTTACACTCCAACAAAACTTGCTCAAGTTCCAAACTCCAACAATCGAAAGCTTCACTCCTTTTGTTCATATCTCCCTCTTTCACTCCATCATGGCACCACACGGAGAAGCAATCGTAAGCACCACCACCACCACTACAATCAACAACAACAACAACAAAAACCACACGAGGTCAATGATGATGACGCCCAAGAACAACATCCAGAGAACAGTCTCCGACATCTCGTTCGAGCTCATGAGCAAAGAGGCCATCGACCACCAAGAAGCAGCAGCACTTCCCCCGATCTCGGAAGTGGAGGACGCCAAGTGCGAGTGCTGCGGGATGAGCGAGGAGTGCACCCCGGAGTACATCGACCGCATCCGCTCCAAGTTCCTCGGCAAGTGGATCTGCGGGCTCTGCTCCGAGGCCGTGAAGGAGGAGATGGCGAAGCAGAACAACGGCCTGGAGGCGGCGCTGACAGCGCATATGAGCGCGTGCGCCAGGTTCAACAAGTTCGGGAGGGCGTACCCGGTGCTGTCGCAGGCCGAGGCGATGCGAGAGCTGCTGAAGAGGAGCACTCGAAGGGCGCAGTCGTTCGGCCCAAAGAGTGGAGCTCAGAAAGTTGGCGGGCTTGCGAGGAGCTCCAGCTGCATCCCGGCTATCACGAGAGACTTGCACCGCGCTGGTCATAATTAATAACAATCTCAACTAAAAAGTAGTTGGGCTGAAGGAGTTAGTTGCCTAGATAGCTATATATAGCTAGCTTTCTTCACTTGCCTTTGGCCACCATATCTATGTCTATATAGCTAATCCTCTTACACTATTTGTAGCTAATCTGTCCAAGCTTTTTAAGTTCTCTGTTTGGGGTCCTTATTTTTTTTTCAAAACCCTGAGCTGGTATAGTTAGCCAGCTAGGGTTTTGTTCGCCACGGCTCCACATATATAACAACTTCGGTCTCCCTTTATTTTGTGATGTTGTTTTTTTTTTTTTTTTTTTACTGTTTGTATGGTGATTACCAACGAACCTAGTTTTACAATGAGGTTGGTTTGAATATCCCTAATATTAATTGTGTTCAAATAAGGAGGGACAATTAGTTTCCCCCCTTCTTGATTTTATTTAATTAGTAATTACCTGTTGCAAGTACTACAGGGCTTCGTCATTATCATTTCACTCCAATTGAGTTGGGTTTCTTGTACAAATAACTGTACCCGTGACTCTATTATGACGTTAATATAATTTTTTTATTAGTCATAGTTAATAGTTCTATCTTTGCATTTTTTTTTCTCAATAGCTCACTTGTATTACCAAGACGGAAAAATAACAAGAGTTTACACCATATGAACAAACCAAAGTCGAAAATCAAAAATAATAACACTCGCAGGTAACAAAGAAAGGGTCTTCTTAGCCACCAGATGGACCACCCAATTGTTTCTTCTGTCAGAGAACCGTACTCCAAATACCCTGAATTGTTGTCAGAGCTGTCTAATTTCCTCCAATAGCACACCTCCATGAACATCATGTATCTCATTCTCCTTTACCTTGTCGAGCATTCCTTTGGCATCACCACAGAAAATAATCTCTGATAGTCCCATCATAGAGCACCATCAAATTGCATCATGAAGCGGAACCAATTCTACCACCCAAGAATCGCATAAATCTGCATAATGAAAAGCTTTAGCAAAAAGAATTGTACCTGTCGCATCTTGCACTACTGCGCCTCCCGCCGCATGAAAGCCCCACCGAAGAGCTCCATCCACGAAGCACTTGAGACCCGGGCCACCTCCATCAGACGGTGTTGCAGTATGAACAAAAGTTGGACCCGTCAAATCTACAGGCCTGGGCAACGCCAACCCCTCATTTACCTAGGCATTAACTGCTGCAGTAATACGTCCTCGGTATATTATAAATGACCAAACACCATCCAATTTCGTGACTTCCATATTCGCCACAGCAATGCAACAAAATGGAAAATCGGCTTCGGGCTCTCATCACACTCTATATACCACTTAAAAAATAACGCAAAATTTATGTTAACTTCCACATGCACTGTCGCCCATAATCAAACCAACCCTAGCTCACAAACCACTCGCCACTCTACAGAATAAGAACATATGTTCCATTGCTTCCAGAGGTTCCCAACAAACCGGGCACCGTGACTGACGTCGTCCTCCCTTTTCAACAATCGCCTCAGTAGTTGGCAGAATACGACGCATCACTTGCCAAACGAAAATTTTAAGCTTAGGGGGAATAGAAAATTCCCGTGCCTTCTTCCAAAACTTCATATCAAAAAAGGAAACTTCCTCCCTCCACTCAGGCTTCCGGTGACGCAATTGCAAGGCTAAATGATACCCCATTTTTACCGAGTAGAGCCCCATCTGCTCCCACTCCGATACCTCTCGATCCGCAGCCTGGCAGAGAGGCAATGAAAGACTGCGGATAGCATCAGCGATTTCTGATGGGAAACAAAGCTCTAGGCACATGTCACACCACCTCCCTGTGTCCAGTTCCCACAAGCCATCCACAGTTTATCCCGAATGAATTACTGTCGTCGTCAGTAAGACGTCCACCGCATTCCGAAAAGCAGGTATCCACCTATCCTACACGACACGAATTGTCGCAACAGTACCTACCTGCCATCTCAAACCTTCCAGCAGCAATTCTTGACCATGCAAAATTCCCACAACCCCCAAGAGGGTCTCAAATGACGGGTGGCTTCAAAGAAACCCACCTTAGTGAAATATTTGCCTTTTAAAATGCTCGCCAGCAAAGACTCCGGTTTGTGCCATATTTGCCAAGCAATTTTCACCAACAGAGCTTTATTAAAGAGTTCAAATCTTGTTAAACCGAGCCAGCCATCATGTTTGCTACGACATAGATTCCTCCAAGAAACTCAATGCACCTTGTTTCCTTCTGCAGTGTAACCCCACCAGAATCGTGTCATATGATTGTCTAATTTATGGCAGAGTGTTTTTGGTCACAAGATACACGCCATCACATGAATAGATAATGTCGCTACAACCTTCAAGAGAACTTCCTTCCTGGCCCAAGATAAATCTTTTGTTTCCATCCCTACAGCTTCGATAACAATTTCTCCTCTAAGAATCTAAATGTTTCAATTTTGGAGCGATGCACTAGCGATGGTAATCCCAAGTACTTGTCTTGAACAACAACAACTCCTACTCCCAAAAGTTGAGTCATCTCCTCTTCATTACCACTAAAACACACTGTCGATTTTGCCAAATTCACTTTGTATCCACTCAAAGACTGATACTCCTGCAGAACTGCTAGTAAATTTTGACATTCACCTGTTGACGCTCACAAAAACATATACGAATCATCTGCAAAAAATAAGTGAGACACACTTGGACTTCGCGGACTAACTTTAACCCCTGCCAATCACCTCTCCTAAACTTCCTTTCTCAATAGCGCCGCAAAACCCTCTGAACACAACACAAACAATAGGGGGGATAGCGGATCACCTTGGCGGAGCCGCCTAGTCGAGCGAAAACATCCTCCTGGTGTACCATTCATCAGAACTAAGAAAGAGTCAGTGGAGACGCACTCTTTAATCCACTCAATCCATCTCTGATAGAAACCCATCTTAGCGGTAACTGCAAACAAAAAGGGTCATTCTACCCTATCAAGGCTTTCTCTATATCTACCTTATGAGCTAGATAACCATTTTTTCCCCCGCTTCTTGACTTTCAGGTAATTCATAATTTCATGACTAATAAGCACATTATCTACAATCTGACGTTCCCGAATGAACCCATTTTGCTATGGTGAGATAAACATGGGAAAATGAGAAACCATTCATTTTGCCATTATCTTGGAGATAATTTTATAAAACTCCTGACAGAGACTGATCGGTCGTATTTGTCGCATATTCTCCACCGCATCTACCTTAGGAAGCAACGTTAACCAAGTATGGTTAAATCTTTTCAACATTTTCCTGGAACGAAAAAAAAACTGAACAACGTCAACTACATCAGGCCCCACTATGTCGCAAAATGCTCGAAAGAACTTTCCTGTAAACCCGTCCGACCCATGAGCCTGAGTAGGTGCTATCGAGAAAACTATATGTCGTATCTCTTCCGGATGCACTTCCATTACCAAAGCCGCGTTAATTTCTGGCAAAACCATCCCCGGGATTGGCAACTCTTCCAATCGTTCAGCCATATTCGCAACCTGGCTTTCAGTGGCAAACAATTCCTCAGAAAAATCCCCATCTACTGCACATTTATCTTCATCCGATGTGACCCATATCCCATTTTTATCATACAGACCAACAATATAATTTAGCCTCCTTCGTGCGTGAGTAACAGTATGAAAATATGAAGTGTTTTGATCCCCCTTACGTAACCAGCCTACCCGAGAATTCTGTCTCCAATGCAGTTCTTCCGCCACCCAATGCTTCGATAACTCCCTCTCCAACTCTCCTATTCGATCCCAATCTGTTTCCTCCTCCCCTTTCATTGCTTCTATCTCGGTCTGCAGGACTCTAATATTCCTAGTTGAATTAGTAATTCTTGCCAAGTTCCTATCATACAGAAGATGTTGCACCGCTTTCAATCGCCGCCATAATCGAAACATTGCCGATCCTTCCACTACCTGATTCCAAGCATACCGGACCAAGAGCAAACCTCTAGGTTAGCAACCCATCTCCCATCAAATCAGAATATGGATTTTGACATTCTGTGAAACGACTTATCCGCCAAGACGAGCACACGATAATGTGATCCAAAATCAGTACATTGCTTGACTAACGTCTATGGAAAACATTCCATCCAAACTGGGGACGCTAGAAATCGGTCTAATCTGTTGATGTGACTTGAATCGGACTATCAGCCGCTACGACTGGTCTGTAACCGTTTCCTTTGCCAGATTGGATTAGGTTTAGACCCACATGGAAAAGTACTATAAATACTTCTCATACTCCTCTGTAATCTATAATCTCCTCGATATGGTGAAACTGGCTCTCTCTCGCCCGTGGACTAGCTAACACACATCGTGTTAGTGAACCAAGTAAATCATGTGTCTGTGTTTTTTCGATTCTCGCTTTCGTATTCTTTCTTTGTCGATTCCGGCGATTTCCCGATCCGTAGCAGCGCGTTTATAACAAATGGTATCAGAGCCGCGGCTGCAAATCAGGCTAGAGTTTTTTTCGATTCAGAAGAATGACGTCGGTGAACATGAAGATCGAAAAGTTCACGGGGAAGAACAGCTTCGCTATATGGCAGATCAAGATGCAGGCTTTATTAAAACAGCAAGGGCTGTGGGGGCCGCTGTCTGCGAAACAGAAGAAGGCAGCGTCGATGACGATGAGTGGAATACCCTGGAGGAGAAGGCCCACTCGACCATCATGCTATCGTTGTCTGATGATGTCATCATTGAAGTCGCTGCTGAGAAGACTACCGCGGGCTTGTGGTTGAAACTAGAGAGTCTGTACATGACTAAGTCTCTAACCAACAAGTTGCATCTCAAGCAACGGCTGTTCAGCTTGAGGATGCAAGAAGGTACGCCTTTGAGGGAACATCTCGAACAGCTTAACTCTATTTTGATGGATCTGCGTAATATAGATGTTGAAGTTGATGACGAGGATGCTGCCCTAATTCTGCTAGTTTCTTTGCCGAGTTCATATGAGAATTTCGTTGATTCTTTTATTGATGGTAAAGAAAGCGTGTCGTTGGAGGAT